ACCATTTTAGGTTCGGTACAGACCACTTCGAAAAACTTGAAAAAGTGTCCTGAGTCAATGACAATCAATTTTAGTCACCGAAAGTTTTGTACGAAACCTTTTGAGGGTTTTGTATTGTCTTCCTAAATGGTTCCGTAATCATACAAATTTTTTTGGAGCGTACCGAACCATTTAGGAAGACAATACGAAACCCTCACAAGGTTTCGTACAAAACTTTCGGTGACTAAAATTGATTGTTATTGACTCAGGACACTTTTTCAAGTTTTTCGAAGTGGTCTGTACCGAACCTAAAATGGTTCAGAGAATTGCAACGAATTCGAAACCTTTTTAGGTTTCGTACGATGTACGAAACCATTTTTTCGTTCAAAGTACCTTTTTTGGTTCGGTATGGTACCATTTTTTTTTCAGTGTAGCTACTGAGCCCTAGTTTTCCTTTGCTTTACTTGCATCATTGATTATTTGCCCTCAAACCAAACATCACATCAGTTCCTGACTGCAGTGGCGGATTTAGGGGGGCGCTTGGGGCGATCGCCCCCATTCGAAAAAAAATTTTCGATTTTTCCCAGCAGAAAAGACTTGAAAATAGAGTGCATACTACTACTAATGAACTTCAAAACTCGACTTTTGGTCAAAATCGCCCCATATCTATCAAATCGCCCCTTATCAAAAAAATCCTAGATCCGCCGCTGCCTGACTGCCACAGTTGACTTCACGAGCGACACAATCGTCTGTTCAAAAATATACTCGGATCACGGGTCTCAAGACTTGGTTCCGCAAGTTTCTGAGCCCCTTCTACTTCATCCTTCAGTTTTATCATTCCTTATTTACCATCAACTGATAGATATCGTGGAGTTCTATCTGGCCCAAGTGTTTTTTTTTAACTAGCACAGTTTGCAAGATGAATATTAGGTGAAAATAGTGAATTTTTGATGAAAAATCAGTGTTCTGAAAACAGCTTTTTGAATTTTTCAACCGTTCCTCAGGATGGAAATTTTTCCAAAGCTAGGCATTCCATAGTAAATTCGATCCTCTATCTGGCACAACAAGGATATTTTTTGGCACAAGTCGAGGGGCGTATATTTTCCCAAAAAACTCGAATCCACTGCTAACTTTACTTGCGTAGACTGATATGCTAAATATCAAGATTTTTCTTGCAATTCTTTTAATTTTTTGCTTACCACTAATAATTATTGACATTTGTAATCGATACTGCACTTAAATCTTCTTTAACAATAAATCGATCTTCACAACGAATACTGATTTCATGTTTTGAACTTGAATGACAGCATAGTGGAAAATGTAGGAGAGTATTTGATTCTAAACTTGGCCGAAAAGAGACATCAGAAATGGATATGTATCATATTATCAGCAATATTGATCAAATCAAAAAATTTTATTGGTTAGCTCTCAATGATCAGTAAATAGTGTTTTTTTTATATGGAGTGCATATTCTACTGTATTTCTTTTTTGATGATAGGAATACATAGATATTGAATGAGTGGATAAAGATGATTAAAGAAAAATAATAAAATTCTGTGAATTATTTTACTTGTTTTAGTTTTATTGTATATTTGAAGTATACGAAGAATTTTTTGAAACTGATAATATAAGTAAGAACAATTAAACACTAACGCCGAGTAAGGTTTTTAAAAAAATAATTTCGGATAATCTAGATGACAGAGAGGTGTATTGTTTTAGTAAAATGAATTTCTATATGATTTCATTGAAATATATGCACTTCGTTCGTTGTTGATTATTCTCAGTAGTCGAAATAGCTTATCCTATCCGATGATCATTCATTGTTAAATGTTTGGAATACTAATGAGAAAATAATAAAATATTTTTACAATATTTTTAAACAAGACAATTCAAATTGCAAAAATATTTTTTACGAAAAAGGTTGACGAGTGCATATTTAGCATTTGGATCAAGAAAAGTTCGAATAACTTGACGCAAATTTCAATAGTCTTATTATTAATGATTTTAGCCAGAATAAATGGTTTTCTATAATAAAAATAAAATATTTCATGGTGAAATTTATTTGAAAAATGTCGTGTGACGTGTTCTCTTTTACAGAATTTAGTTTTTGAATACAGACGAGCTCTGTTTGTGGTCATTCGTGATGTGCCAGATTTTCTTAAGTGTTGAGTATTTTTCAGCTGATTTATTTTGAAGAGTGACAATTTCATAATGTATTGAGATGTATTTTCTTGACTTTTTCGTCAACCACATAATATAATAAGACACGTTCTTAGTATTATCTTTTCAATGTCATTAGCGATACATGCAGTGCTAAGAAGTCGTTTGATGAAAGTTGATTTTACTGATAACACAAAGAGATTTCTGTTTTTGCAGCAACATTCTCTGTTCCATAAATATGATCGATTTTGTGAATTTTAGATTAAAACAAACAATGACACTGCTATTTCTCTTTCAAGAATTGAATATACAGTCAAACATGTTTTGCAAGATAATTGTTTGTTCAGTTGAAAGCGTTCCTTTAAAGTCTTAAAAGTGAAGTTCGTGAAATGACTTTATGAGAGAAATTCATTTGTTGATAGAGACTCTGTCGAGGAAGGAAAAGTTGATTGCAATCAAAGCAATCACCGGCAATCTTGGCTAGCAGAATATCAGATTTCCCTCCTAGACATTATAGGTTATCGAAAACATGATTGTCATCCTCTTTACTGATGACAATGAAAAGCGTATTCAGAAACAACCTCAAGTCTTTATCTGATGATGAAAGCACAAAAGAACAATCAATAGCAATCATTGACAATCAAATAATCAGCATTTTCCCCCTTGTGTTCTAGCAAACAAAGTCGAAAGTGCAGCTAAAGAGTAAGGGTTTGGATGTGAGTGTCAGTTATTCTCCTTTAATCACCCACGCCCTGTCGACAGTGACTGTTCAGTCGATCAGTTTACACTAATAATTATAAGCATAATACATGTTGACAATGAAGTGTTGGTATGGATGTGGGTATTCTCTATAGTCACAAGCAAGGCCCATATTCTTGTGCATACTCTATTCGAAATGAACTTCCTTGTATGAGAATATGTTTTACATTGTTCTGTTATGTTGAATGTTTTAATTTTGATAAGTGTATTTTTTCTTCACAAAGCCCATAGTTGAAAGATATTAAAATAAAACAAACGACAGAAAAAGAAGATAGATAAAAAAAGTAAAAAGATTGCTTTCTGCCAAAAATAATAAACGAATCATTCAACTCACTCTCAATTAACATCCACACGCATACCTTTCAACAGTATTTATCATTTCGGATTTATACAGATTTATGAGAAAAATCCTTTCAGAAACTAAAAATTTGAACTTAGCTCTACACTATTAGAGAACCTAAAAAGAAATCTCTGATCAAAACGCACTTTTTTCTGGAAAGGAACTTTCTCAATTGTTTTACATGACCATGAAAAGGTCAAAAATTGTCCCTATTTCAAAATAAAAGGCAGAGCAACCAGAAAAATAAATAACAGACACAACAGATATACAAAAAGGTTAATATAAAAAAATCATACTGGATTTCTTCATATGAAAATACTGGGAAAGAGTTCGTCTGTCTCGATATAAAAGTTCAAAAACTATTTTTCTCTTATGCAACCATGATCATATGATGCCGGATCTGTTGTACCTAATCATACTAATTGAATATTGCTTGATGCAAATCTTACGATCAGTAGTTCAAAGGAGTAAGAGTTCTGGACTAATGACTATTTGAATTGAACTGAGGTCATTTGAAAAAGGGAAACAAATTAAATTTGAATAAATATTAGAACATAAAGAAAATTGTTTATGAATCTTATCAAAAGATTCATTGTTTAATACGTTACGATCGGGAGAAGTTACTTGATATTTTAAACAAAAAACTTTTCACAAATATTCTTTAAGCATCAACATCAATCTGAATTCTATCATATATATCGAATATAAGTATATGTCAATAAATCTTTCATTATAAGCCTTTTTATTGATAGAAACTTCTCATAAAAGTGACAAGGAGGATATCATTTCAAAGGAGACGTTTGCAATTTTCTTTAAATATCATTTAGATCAAATTTTTCTTCTACTTTTCAAAGATTCACTTATACTTCCTAACATATAGTTCCTACCAAGATTCTTTCACGCACATAGAATGTTAACACAGCTTTATCAAAATTTTTTCATTGAAAGTCTAATGAGAAAAGAAATATATGGCTCATTAATTAATTGATTTATTATTATTGAGATTTCTTTTACAAAATCAAATATTTGGTCTATACATAATTTAATTTCTAAAAAGGCAGAGACACTTTGAGTCAACGAAATTAACATACCTCGAGTATAACAAAATATTTTCTTATTATTGTCAACATATAACAAATTAATTGCAATTATAAGATTTAAATAAATAAATATAAAGCATAAACAAAAGGTACCTCATGTTCAGATCAATTTTATTAACTAATAATATTAGTAATTTCCTTTTATACATTATTTTATTATTTCTTTAGTTCAATTATGTATTGTAACAAGCTCTCTTCAAATGAAATATCTTGCTTGTACATTTTCAAAACTATTATTTACTCACGTTTGTTCACTTTTTTTGGAAAGAAAAATAAAATAAATATCTCAATAAGTGTCCCTTCTACAAATACTTGATAACTATATCAGTTCATTGCATAATGAAATCGGCAAAAAAACTCAATTTACTTTGTTGGCAAAATACCAATTAAACAATGTCTATATTGATGGCAGAATTGAATAGTTTTTTATAACTATATTAAGCAATGAAGACCCTTCAATTTGCCATTCCCTCACTCGCTTTACTAGTGATAAGACGCGTCTGCTCTTGTCTGTTTCTTTTCTGCTATTTTCGTTCCTTTTTTTTTTTTATTTTTTTTTTGTTGGTCACAGAATCTAAGTTTGTAACTTTTGATTCTGATGACAAATGTCCTCTCCAGAGGAACACTCTTTTAATATATCTGAACAACAGAAAACAGTTCACATGGCTGATGAAAATCAGTGTCGGATTACAACGTCAAATAATACTACATGTACCACCAATCATGAAATATCGAAAGAACAGCAAATTGCTTATGGTTCGGCTCCAGTAATATACCAACCGTACAGTTTGCCTCAATCTTATGTATGTGTTCAACCTACACCAAATAGTCAAATCGTTAATCATTATTCACCAAATAATATGGTAACTCAACATCAACTTTATCAGCAACAAGTACCATCAACTATTAACGTTTCATCTGCGTATGTACAACAAGCGATGTTACATTCCAACATGAATCCACAACAAGCGTTAGTTTCATCATATCATCCTCCGGTTAATACTAATGTTTTGTTTGCGTCATCAATGACTAATCCTACTGTTTCTTCAACACCAATGTCTGCTACTACCAAGAGAGGTCGCAACGACATCAGTGGGGTTTCGGATTCGAATGCGCAAGAGCGACCTCAATACTATCAGACAACTCGTATTTTTAATGCTCGTAATACACCTAACAAGCGTCACTGTGGAATCAATCAGCAGCAAAAGGAAAACTCGTATCCTTATCGTTACGAACAAAATCATCAAGAACAATTAAATTACAATATCATGGAAGGAAGAAACATCGCAGAATCAACATATGACCAACAACAGCCTTCAATGGCTGCTTGTCGATATGCTACATCTCGCTTCCCGTTCTCACCTTTTTCGGTAATCTTCTTGCATCAAGTTAGGGAAAAAGTCGTCATCGATGATCTAATGAAACATGCAAAGGAAAATTTTCATTTTGAGTTAAAAACGATAGCCTATCGGCGTGGACGTTCAGAAAATAACGAGTGTCGTATTTTGGTTTTCGTCGAGAACAGTGAATCGTTTTCATTCTTATATGAACGTGGCAACTGGCCTACAACATTAGCTGGACACGAATTTACAACAAAACGTCCATCAATTCCGCCTCAGCTGTCGTTAGTGCTACCGGCTGTCTCTTTACAGATTGATTGGGAGGATTTCGTACACGAATTAAAAGAAAAATACCCTGGTATTGTAGACATTATACGTTTAAAAAATAAAGCACAACAGCCAGTACGCGCTGTTAAACTAGAATTTTTATCGACTAGTTTACGCAAAGAAATACTAGAAGCCAATGAAATCACGGTCATGCACTTAAAACTAAAAGTAGTCGAATTTTTTACACAAGCCAATGTATTGATTTGCTCCAACTGTTACGGAATAGGGCACTTCAGGAAGAACTGTACACAGAAGAATGAATCAACGTGCAAAACATGTGGTGAAAAATGTTCAAATCTGAACGATCATCAATGCTCTGGTATTCCAAAATGCATTCATTGCGCAGGACCACATATTTCAAATGATTCAAAATGTAAAGTGGTAAAAGACTATCGTGCCGCACTTACTCGTAATCTCTTAGCTAAACCGATTTCAGCAAATAGTGAATATACAAATCTACAACCAACTACAAACAATATCCCGATTGGCGATTCGACTTTTGGGGATTCCTATGCCTCGATAGTTAAAGGGATGCCATCAAATGTAAATGATGTCTTATTAAAGAAACTTGATAACATTTTAGTTAAAGTGGAAGAAGAATCTAGTGCAACGCGTCGCTCTCTCGAAGAACTAAAAGAAGAAATGAAAAATCGTTACGAAGAGACAAAACAGCAAGTAGAAGTGCTAGACAATAAAGTGAAAACAATGGAAAAGAATTTTGAGGATTTAACAATAAGAGTCTACACAATCTTGCAAAACGTTTGTACAGCAATATTGGACCCACAAGTTGCACAAAGATCGAGTTGAAAATCGTATTGGCAAGAACAAATCAATCTTCTAGAAGAATTTAGATCGTCCCGTTCGAAATCTAAACAATGATAGAGACAGTCGAGGACAAATTTAATCATGATACTCAAGCAACTCAGTTTATAGATTATGCTCGCAATACGCTTTCATCGAAGGACTCGGAGCTGTTTTCAGAAATTCTTATTGATTGGCACGCCTCTTCATCATTAAATGATCTACTGTCGAATTGGAAAACCTACCAAAAACCGCATGTTAATCAAACGTATTCATATATGCATTTACTCTGCTTTAATGTTCGTGGTCTGGATCTACGTTGGGAGGAAGTTTGCCTGCTGGTGAAAAAACATCGTTTCGATATTATACTACTTGGTGAGGTTGGACATGTCGACCTCTCTCTATTGGGTGCCGCATTCTCTAACTACCGAATCTTCTATCAAACTGGTGAAAATGCACATGGGGGTGTTCTAGTATTGATACATAATGATATTCCAGCTACGAAAATTTCATGCTCGTTATCAAACGTCTGTGTAATTGATCTACTGGCAGAACAAACAATTAGACTTGTAGCAATCTACGCTCCAGCAAGCAAATCCTGGGAATGGGTGAATTTATCATCATTTATCACTAATCGTTGTATAATTACAGGTGATTTCAACATCGATATCGAAAAAGATGGTGATAAAGCTGAACGTTTACTCGAATGGATGGACACATGTTCTCTTGGTCCTTTTGTTCCAGATTCTAATACATCTCTTCGTTCGGATCGTACAATTGATTATGCCTTAGCAGCCGGTATGAATCTATCAATTCAAACATCTGAAGATGACACTTCTAGTGATCATAAGCCTCTTCTTATGGTGCTTGCATGTGATACAGTTTTAAAGCGTCAAGGATCGCGTATAATATGGTCAGTTTTTTCGCTAATGCTTTCTTATACATATGCATTCTGGGAAAAAGTATGGAACTCCGGACCGTATGATATTACATATGAACGATTTATATCTTTTATTGTATCGCTTGCTGCAAGATGTACGCAATACTTTCCACTCAAGCGAGCCAGACCGTCGGTACCACATGAACTTATGACACTCCTAGCACGAAGTAGATCACTATCGTACAAAGCAAAGCGGAAGGGAGATATCTTTCTACGCCAGGAAGCTCGTCGTCTTAGGAACATCGCTCGCTTCGAATTAAAACGCTATCAGCAGTTTCATCTCACACAACAGTTAAAGGAAAGACATGTTCCTGGTGAGTGCTCGAGAGTATTCTGGAGTAAAACCAAAAGACATTTTCGAACTGCTTCATCATCATTAAGAGGTTTCTTACTTCTGAACGGTGAAATAATAAAGGACCCGCAAGCGATGGTAGATACAGCGGCAAATTATTATGAAACACTATTTGAAGCACCGGTGGTCGTTCGTCCGCATCCATATGTTGATGCCCCTACTGTACAATGTGTAAACGTGTCGGAACTTATACCACTAGTCACTTATCCAGAAGTTTTAAATGTTCTACGTACAAGAAAGAAGAAACAATCGCTTGATATACATGGACTCTCACAGAGCTGCCACCTCTTCTGCTTTTAGCAGAAAAATTCTGCTTTTTGAAAATTTTTCTGTCTTTTTTCTGTGGTTTCTGCTTTTTGAGAATTTTTCTGCTTTTTTGGATACTGCGAAATTTATATTTTTAAAATATTTTTCATCTCACAGATCATTTTTTACGATTATAAAAAAATCCTTATCAATAGTTACTAACCCATGTCCTCAAAATCGTCTTACTTTTGACGATTCTCCGCCATTTAAAAAAAAACGCCAATTAATCGCTAGCATTTGGTGATTATATTGTCGAAGTTTAGCATAAATGGCGATTTTTCGGTGAAAATTAGCAAAAATCGGCAGTTTTTTACAATTTACCGCGATATAATCTCACAATTAATCGGGCTAGCATATCGCAATATAATCGGCGATTTTGATTTGGCTGTTGACACAGATAGTCTATATATGGTCGACCTATTCCATCAAAGTCATATAGGTTTTTCATTTTCTGTGTTTTTGTTGCAAGAATTCAAGAAAAATCGCCAATTTTTACGATTTATCGCGATATAATCTCTCGATTAATCGCTAACATAACGCGATAAAATCATCGATTTTGTGACGATTTCGATAACATGGGAATGTTTTTGTTCTATTATAATTCTTTCAATGGTACAAAAATGATCTTTATTTTTGTTAGTTCCGACTAGTTATGGATGTTTATATATTCTTTCACTTAATCACCAAATTTTAGGAAGCTGGTATGCTTTCATATTCTCTACTTTGTAGCGACCCTTATGTGGAATCAGCATTCTGAAAATTGAAACTTTTTTTAAATGATAAAAGGAACTGTATAGGAACAGAACTAATATCAGCTTTATTAGCAATACTTTTAAATTCATTCTTATCATGTATTGAAACACATAAATATTGATTAGGTAATCAAGATTTATTAAAATCTATTAAATATGATGAAAAATATACGTTCAAAAGAAACTTTGTTGCATAATCCTGTTTATTTGTTAATTAATTGTTTTTCTTGATTCTGTACAATAATGATCAACATTTGATGTGAAAGCACTTAATTAGTATACTGGGACAAAGTTTCAAAACAGCTTTATATCAGAGAAAATGCTTTCTGTCTTTTTATTCTGCTTTTTTATGATAAAATTTCTGTCATTTTCTGCTTTTTATAAATGATTTTCTGTTTTTTGGACTTCAAAAGGTGGCAGCACTGGACTCTCACCATTTCTGCTTGATAAAATCCCTAAAAATTATTGGCACTTATTTGTTAAGTTGTACAATGATTCTTTCACTAATGGTTACATATTGAAGAAATTTAAAGAAGTAAGAATGGTACTACTGGCTAAGAAAAATGCTATATGCACTCCGGATCAAACAAGACCTATCTCGTTGCTTGACTCTTTTTTAAAAACGCAAGAAAGACTGTTTCTCAATCGTTTTCTACAAGTATTGAAGGACCGAGGCATTCTTCCTGATAATCAATCTGGTTTTCGGGCTGGGCATAGACTTCAAACACGTGTGCTACTGCTCATTGAACAAATGTCATCTTACATGTCAAATAGTTCGCCGGTTGCGACAGTCTTCGTTGATTTTAAATCTGCATTTGATCAACTTTGGTTTGAAGGGTGTCTGGGAAAGTTGATTCGAATGGGAATTCCAAGTATGTATGTCAATTGGATTCAAGCATGGTTAAATGATCGTCAAGCGACAATCGAGATACAAGGTAAAAGATCGAGATGGATCAATATTAACAGAGGTGGCCCGCAAGGTTCTAGTTTAACACCAACGTTATTCATTACTTATCATAGTGATATGGCGGATTTTATTCCCGGGGCAATGTCCTTCTTCTTTGCTGATGATCTCGCAGCTGTATTGGCGGGACAAATCGGATTAAAATTTACAGAACAATGTGTTGATCTGGAACGAAGACTACAAAAGTTCTTCGAACAACTGGAATTCTACTCGATATTAGCGGTGCAACCTATTAATTACTCTAAAACACAAATTATGTTCTCGGCGCGTGCTGTTCGTTATCCGAACCCAATGCCACAAGTTAGATGTGGAGATAATACGATCGAATGGACTTCCTCGTTCAAATATTTAGGATACTGGTTAACAACTAGGCTTGGGTGGGGAAATGTTATCGGTAAAACTCGAGTAAAGGTACGCCAGAAAACCGCATTAGTAAATTCGTTCAGAATTAATGGTACATCATCAACTCAACTTCGAAGAATTCTGTTTTCTACCTTTGTACTACCTTACTTTACGTGGTTGTTCGGAATTTATCCCTTATTCACTGAGAGGCAGCGCACGGACCTTAATCATCTATATTTTACGCTGTTAAAACGTATATCTTCGTGCCAATGCTGGGATGACTTTGTCTTCTCGTCTATTTTTAATGAAAAATCGTTGGATGATCTCTGCTTCGGATATTGGGAAAAATATGCAAAGGCACTAGCGAAGTCAAGAGATGGATCCCTGTTATTGGAACAATCAGAATTAAATTCTCACAGATCAGCTTGGCAGATGGGTATACAACGTGTTCGCTGTCTGCATAGATCCAAAAGATTTGTATCCCACACAGACGTATTAGGTCGAGTATTCAACTGGATGACAATGCAAGGTTCCGATGACTCAGTTGTAGCACACAAGGAAGAAGAACTACTATCTTTTGCTATGTTTCCGGAAAGCTTTGTATAAGAAATCTCGTTTCAAGTGATTGTAGGTCACGATGACAAAAAAAGAAAGGAACTAGAGAGTGGGAGAGAGAGAAGAAGGAGAAAGGAGGGAAGAGATAGTAAAAAATAAAAAAAAATAAAAATAAAAAAAAAAAAAAATAACTAGAGGGAATACAAACAATGTAAAGCAGCATGCCAGTGATAAAGAATAAAGTAGGTGCAGAAGGACAAGGAAAAAAAAAGAGGATGAGGGAGAGAATGGTACCTAGCTTGGTTCTCGTTGTTCTTTTCTTTTCTTTTTCTACTTCATTTCGTCTTATTGTTTCATCATATTTTCCTTTTTATTCATGTATTTCCTTTTAATCATGTCTTTCTTTTTACTTATCATAAAGTATGGTGCAGCTAAAGTGTCCCTTTAGGACCGACATGGTCATAGGGCTTGATTGCTTAATAAAAAAAAAAAAAAAGACCCTTCAATTTGTTCTTTGTCATATCAATTACAGAAATCAAGACAATTCTAATAAATAATATTCTAGTCTAGTTAAGTAAGCCTTTAGCTGTGTATATACCTATTTAATTAATACTTTTTCTAATTGTCTTTATAAAATTATGGAAAACGGATATAAGTCCGAAAATGCATCTATTACTTTCAAAAACATCAAAACTTAACGAGAAAAATACACAAATAAGTGGTTGAGAATGTTTTCTTTTTTATAAAACTTCATAACATCCCCATCTAATCGAAATAAAGAATATACCGACAATAGTCTCACGAAAGATTTAAATAAAAAAAAACAGAATAGACTATTACTTAGGAAGTAAAAATTCTATTCATTTTTCGAATAAAATCATAGAACTTTTTTGAAAACAAAAGGAAGTTCTTTTATCTGTTGTACAATTTCTCTAAGAGAGAAAATAATAATATGAAATGCACATCTATGAAGTTGAAATCTATAAAAACACACCATATTCTTCATTTAATTCTTAGCATATGATATAATTTCATAGACAGTGATTTTTTCACTAACTAGAAACAATTATCTATTTCATTGATCAATATTAAAAATTCGCGAATAGATAAACTAACTGAATAGATTTGATCAAAAAAAAACATTTACTTTTTGGAATTTCCAATGCACAAAACAAATCTGTTCTTTCTTATATTTCTCAATTTTCATGATTCAATTGATATGATCAAATAACCAATTTTACTTGCTTCATGTGACAACAGATGCATTGTTCAAGTAGAAAGAAAAAATTATCACACATGAAGTAAGAGCATGACATTCCTCTTGTCTTCACGCATTACATTAGATTACTTTCAAAAGAGAGTGGAATATGTAAAAACGATAGTGCTTATAAAATCTAAACTCAATTCATTCTTTCTACTAACATTTTATCTTATGTAGTTTAATATCAAAAACTATTCCCAAAAGCTAGAAATAGTATCGTTTTTGTATCACTGTTTTCTATTCATAACGTGTAAAATGAATAATTGTTTTTTCTATACATAGATCTGGAAAACAAAAAAAACAATAATATATACTGTATAATCGGCTCTATATTTTGAGAGGAATTCATGACTACTGAAGCTTGTGCCTCAACATTCGTTTTTTGTGTACTCAAAAAGTGAGTACACTCTAGAATCGGTCAGTGTGTCCGTTAGAGACCTACGGAGTCAAACTTTTTTGACTCCGACTCCGACTCCGAAATTTTTTTCCTATGTAACTCCGACTCCGGAGTTTTTTTTTGTAAATGACTCCGACTCCGACTCCGAAAGTTTTTTATGAATAACTCCGACTTCGACTCCGAAAAACTCCGAAAATTTTTCCTATTGTAAATCAGCAGCAGCTCACATGTATGGAGATATTATATAATTTAAAGTTAGTTTACCATCACAAATCAAGTCTGATTGCCGATTACTGTGCACGAATAAATAGATATGCAAAATATTAGATAAAAAAACTAAAGCTGATTAAATTTTCAACCTCTTTTTAAATATTAAATATAAAGGGTGGTCAAAAGTTTTCGACCCCTGTCTCCAGAGTGGCGTTATTTACATGAAATACATATATAGACAGTTGATCAAAGTATACAATTTTGTAGAGAATGATTAGAGCTATTATCTGAAAACAGTTCGTTCAAGCTGTGTCGGACTAATCAAAAGTTATAGTCATTTTATTAATCATGACTATGCATTTTCCATCTTCCATTTTTTGTAAACACAGAAATATTTTTATAAAGTTTGAAGAGAATTATTGCTTTCTAGATAATTTTATATGTTTGGAGATAGTTTGTCAATTTCTACAAGAATATGAATATCACAAAGAGTTCTAATCCTATTTCTTGTATAAAACTTGGAGGAAATTAGAAAAAATAATAAAAATCTCACATATCTTGCATTAGAGAGAGCATGCTTAACTTTGGCTAACTTTATTTGATCGATTGTTCGTCTGTTGTTGATGCTCAGAAAAATCACTGTCACTCTTAGTATG